AACTAGCTATTATTTCCATTCCTTCTATCTGTAACAAAGACTTCACCCTCGGAGATCATGAAAGTAGGCCTATTCTGATTCTGAAAATGAATAGGTTGTCTCTATGGGGTAGTGGTTCAGACACATGCCTAGATGTGAGAGACCTGGGTTTGATTCCCTCTACTTCTATACATGTGTCCCTGAGCAAGACACTTAACCCCTAGTTGCTCCAGGAAGATGACTTCTGACATAGCAAAAGCCTCAGCTAAACGAGTGATTACTTATGAAACAACACACAGATGTATTTTATTTAAACACACTTTTATTGCAATCCCCATCTGCTGTCTCTGACAATCTTAAAGCATTTGTTTGTTGTATGGTGATTTCTCCGAAATCGTGTTGGTCATGTATTGATAAGACGTTTAGAATTGTAAACGTGGGTGAGTCATTGTTTCAGTGAAACCCCTACCAAGATGTGTCTATATCAAAAGTGACCAGTAGGTGTTACCGTGGAGACAAGTGTCGAAGTGTTCGAAGCCTCGACACAATTCCGGCACAATTGCTTAAAATGTTTCAGTGTTTCACAAAGCCTCGCTTTGCCCATCACTAGTACGTACTACTATTTTTTTTCCTCGATTGACCCCCTTGAATAAAAGATCACAGATATACCTGATGCATTTAGCACATGGCCATCACAATCAGCCATCTTGGATTGATGGGGTCAGCAAGCAATGAATATGTGGAATACAAGATAGTAAGCATTGTTACAATGTTGCTATCAATCAACTGACACTGTCCTCAAATGCCTTGCAGAACATAACCATGATATATTAATCCAAAATAGAGTTAAAATAACTGTCCACAAATGTGGACGCCATGCATGAAAGGATGGGCTAGGCATGATATAGAGCGAACAACGACAGAGTAAGTAATATAATTATCTGTAATTAAAGTTTTGGGTTAGCAAACTGTTGCTACAGTCGCTGCTGCAAAGCTAACACACAGAGAGGAGGAGATGGTCCCAGAGCAAGCACAGAAAGTAAGGAAAGTAAGCTGAATGTCTGTGGTCATTTAACATTACCTGACACACTAATCATGGATGGAACAGCTGGAATATTGTTGTGTGGCGGGGTTCATACATAAAATATTAAATGTGAGAGGACACAATTTTCTGCCATAACAGCGGGCCACTGTGTTTGTTTCCCATTTACAGAGCTGCTGTGTACAAACACTGGATTTCTTTTCAGCGCGCTAACAGAACGGACTGCTAGCGGATAATGAGGAGATATTTGCTGAATTTGACAAAAAGATGTCTATTGGATTAGAATACCTTACCCCATCTTCAAACAAAAATTAATGAAAGACAGTCCAGGTGTTTCTACTGTAATGAACAAAGTGATAAAGTGCAAAGTTAAAAAAGGAGGCAAAGTTTTTATCAAACTAAATGCAGCAACAAAGAGAAATCCTGCCTTCTGTAACGTGTTATTCTATCTAGCGAGCTAGCCTGGCATTGAAAATTAACTGAGAGGTTCCACACAAATTTTGTCTTGCCAAGGGTTGCCACCGAAACATGTGGTGTGCTTGATACGTTTTCAAGCAAGAAAAAAGCCAGGTCAACTTTCTCAAATTACAGCTGGGCAGTACACTATAATGTGTTTCTGAAAACATTTGAGATATCTATCAGAGCAAATGAAACATGAGCTGAGCAGATTTGTCTGATTTGTGTGACAGCACGCCAAACGCATAGTTTAAGTTTTCTCTTTCTGCGTCCTCCACGCAGCCACAGAAGCAAATGCACCTGTGCATCAGGCGACCTTCAACCTGCTACAACTTCTGCTGTGAACTTTATTATTCCTCATTACCTCATCACTATGAATTTAGATCTCTTCCCTCTGCAGAATGAGTAAGAAGGTCTTCGGGGAAGCAGATTCACCTTAAAACATTTTAACACTGTTGTTTATTGGTGGTATTTTCATATGCCTGTGGATATGAAAGCAAGACTGTCTGACATTTTGTCTCCAGTGAAGCTGCGATTGATTTTTATAGCAGGGCATATTTCTGTTTCCAACAACAGCAGCTGTAAATGTCAGGTTTTGGTGTCAGTCCCTTACAGTCAAATAAGACCTGCTTCTTTCTAGACTGACCATTTTGCACCAACGTCCAACAATAACACAGGGAGAAATTTATCATACATGAGGCACAGATACTATTATCACAAAGATTATTTTATGGCATTTTGCTTTTCTTTTTTTTTTACATAGTTGACAGTAAGGAGCAAAGGGATATGGAATAATAGAGGAGGGATGATATATGACAAAGATCAAACCCAGATGGAAACCTGTCTAAATTATTTTATCAAATAGTCATATGAAGACTTGACAGAGTTATATCACTACTCACTCTATTTACCATCTTTCATTATGTACAGTTTATGGAAGATGGTCAGAATCAGCCAAAGCAAACATGCAACCACAAAACAATGTCTAAAAACACGTTTGATGGATAGGAACAGATTGTAATTCTTAAGGGAATTAACTAATGACAGAAATTTGGGATATCAATTTATATTTGTATTCCTAGATATATTACATACTGCAACTGATTTACATTAAACAAATGACACAACAATAATACGAAGTATATAATAAGAAAAAAATAAAAACTTTCAAACTGGACTTGGCAAGCATAAGAAGAAGATATAACTAGTCAAATGCGTGCTAATAAAATATACAAAAGCATGTTCCTGTTAAGTGTGTTGTAAGAGCTTATTTTGAAATTGCATTGATGCTGGCTGTCAAACTCCATATTTCAACATTATAGAGGCCAGACAAAGGCAAAGAGGAAGGGAATGACAGCAAGACAATGGTGGTTGCTTTACAAACAACAGCTTTATTTATGTTATATGCTTCAGAGAGTGTAGAGAAAATTAGACTGAGGAACAAAAGGGATGAAAACAAAAATAAGCAAACTAAAGAGAACTGAAATGAGTCAACCAAGAAGAGACAGGCTGGATGAAACAAGAAACACACAATTCAGACAGAGTGACAATGTGGGGGATAAGACAGGGAGAGAAAGGGACTATAGTGTAACCCAGAGAACTGGACTGGACATTTGTGATTAGTACAGGGCAGAGAGCAGCAGGCTCAGCAGACTTTGTGCAATATTCATGTGCAGCTGCTGAATCCTACATTCATTTTTAGCTTTTCTGAACTCGCCCATATTGTTGCAGTATCTTTAATTAAAGCCACAAATTTGTTCACATTAGCCCGATTCTGTCCACCTTCATCCATTTCATAATTCAAAATAGCTCTAACTTCAAGATCCTGTCCTAACATAGCGTATACTGTAATTCAATACTCAACCTCTCCCTATCATGTTTTTAAAAACATTTTTTATCATCTGTTATGTGCCCTATCATGGACAATACTGGGAGTGTTGCTATCTCCAAAATACATGTATTTGCAAACAATTTGCAAAAAACTTGTAATTGTTATATTCAATGACAACGCATCATTTACTTGACATAAAGAGAAAAGCATTACAGGCCCCACATATCTACAAAGGGTCACGGATAGCACAATAAAGTCTGTGGTTGTGGACAAAAAAAAAAGTATTTTCCTAAAAGCCAAAGCAGCCACAGAAACAACACAGTCACAACAGGGAACTAATGCATGAGAACTGCAAGGAGATGAAGAAGGAGAGACAGCACCTAGAAGATAGAGAGATGCGACCAACGACCAGTTCATCATAGTTTATAATAATGCAGGGCAGCGAGGATACAGACATTTCATACAGCATATATAAGAGGGATCTTGTCTGTTTGTCGCAGTTAAGTTTATACGCTTCCCTGATAAACCACAGAACTGTAGAGTAACATTAGGCTACATGATTAAAGAAAGTTTTTATATCAAAGTGTGACTTCGGTCCATACTCACACGCACCCTCTTTCTTTCTCCCTGCTGCAAGTCTGCTTTGTGAACTGCCAAATGGTGCATCGCTTTAAATGTTGCAGCCCCGGGGAATTGTGGGATGGCATTATCTCCTTTCCCTTCATAAAGGATGTTCCAGTGTATCCTATGCTAAAGGAGATAAGAAACAAAGCAATAAAGCACTTTTTCTTGGCTGCCACTTAAATACTTCCAGGTCATTCCACTCAGTTAAGAACCTAAGCAAAAAAGACTATTCAACTGCAACCCAAAACTTATTTATGTAAAGACATTAACATTAATGAGTATAGGTGCCTAGGTGACATCATACCACCATCATATTTATACAATATACACAACATGTATCACTCAAAAATAAATAAATAAATAAATAAAATTACAATTGATTGACCCTTTGCTAAGCCACGCCCCAAATACGCAGCTGGCCAATCACAGCGTAGTATAGGACTTGCTCTAACTGAGGTCCAACAATTTCATGGCTGCGCTCCATTGACTTGTGCAAAATCCGTTGTTTTCTAGCTTTTTTTGCTGTATTTTTATAAGATATGGTCAAATCCTGTTGCTGGGGCACCTGTAATAGTTACAGTCGCTAGCCAGAGAGGTACGATTTATTCACTTTACAAAACCTAAAACAAATCCAGGAAAATGTTGGCTGTCTGTTGTTTTTAATGTAATGTCAGTTAGCTAACATTAGCTAACTTACTACTGAATTTAACATTATATAACCCCACTGTTCTGCTTTTTAATGATTGTAAGAGTGAATAGAGACCTACCCAGCTGTGCTGGAGCAGTGTTGATCATTTATATCGTTGTTCTCTTTCTCAATAGTCAATAATAATACGGTGTTTCACTAGTTTTACTCTGTGATCGGTAGGCTTTAGCTTCTGTCTTTATTTTTTTCACGTCAGTTTGACAGCCTGAATACAACCTTCAAATGCACAATGCAACTGCAAAACTGTCTGCTTCTTTCTGAGATCACCCTTTGCAAAAATTAGACAATATTTCTCCAGGGAGTGCAGTAATAGACTGTGGCAACGCCGTGATAAAAGTCCGACAGGTCTTAGCGAAGGTCAATTACATGCAAATTTACTAAGAGGATAAGCTCACACTTCCAAGCTTTCATGGCTCTAATCTTGGAACCCATCGGCTATCATCTGATGTCGATTTAGCCTCTGGGGGCAACAGCCAGTGTTTCGGGGTTCCTCTTAGGTAATGCAATCTCTCAACCCATTAGCTATCATATGACAATGATTTTAACGCAGTTACACTTTTAAAAAAGCTATTAGAAAACAAATCTTCAGGGTTCAGTTAGTGCTTAGTCAGTGTGTTGACAAGTGATGGCCACTCAGTCTATACTGAATGTAAGCTAGGACAGAACCACATAGCCAGAGACAGAGAGAGACAAAGTACAAGTACCACAAAGTAAAAACCTCCAAACACCTCAAAGTTACGGTGTTTAAGTTTAGCACTTTTGGTTACTGGTGGTTATTGCAAATGTGTTTTAATGATCAGTTACAGGTCCCAGAGTACTGTCAAGTCCAGACTGCATAAATGGTTCCTGTGAGTCTCTCGTGCAAAGGTACATAAGTAGATCCTGAGATGTTGGGCTTTTTGAAGTGTTGTTGATTCAGTTTTATGTAAGATGACAGTGTACTAATGGCGGTGGTAGTTTTTTCCGTAGTATAAAAATACTATGCTATAGCATGGTTTGTTTGAATGGCATTATCTCAACTACCCAAAGTGGGATATCATAATATATCATACATTTTTTTATAGTTTTGTTCCTGTAATAATATTAAGTTATTAAAAGGATATTCACAAATACCTTACTGTATGATTGGCCAGCACGTTGCCCAAGAACTACATCTATATCCATATGCAGTTAGCTAGCTAATCAACAGACCAAATTTCAAGAATTCATTTAAAGCTTTAGAATGGCTATGCTTTGTTTTGTGTTTTAAGTAGAAGTCTCCTGTTAAAAGAGGTGGCCATAAAATGCCTCACACATGCAGCCATGAACAATTTATGGTTGTTTTTCAGGGTCACAAGCTCTGATTTCGTTTTGCCCATCCATTCAGTCCCGCAAGGTGAGAACCAGCCGAGAAGAGCACCAGCCGCCAGTCTCTGGCAGCAGCAGGTAACCGGTCACACAGCAGCTGATAGTTAATGAGACAGCTAGCCAACTGCCAGTTAGCAGCCACCTGGCCAGCCAGCAGCTGGTGACCAGCCCCTGAACCAGCCAGACACCATTAGGCAGCTACCAATCTGTCACCCAGGGAGCCAACAGGGAGCCAGCAATACTACAGAAGGTTCACAAGGACAACCTGACTAAGACTGAGATGGGAAAAAATAAGTCACTACAGCAGTCAGGTGCCCAGATTCAGTTGAAAGCCAAGGACAGGGAAAAGGGTTTACATGATCTTCATCCTGACCTCTGATATGTTGAAGGAGCGGGGCAACATGCACAAATAAAGAATGTTGCCACTTAAAGAGACGCCATTTTTTTCTTGTAGATATGTTTGGAAGGACTGTTTAGAATTATGTGATACAGATGTGAAGCTTCATGTTTCTACTGCAGATAAAGTATGACTTTTAAACAAGAAAAATATATTGTATGTTTTGTTTGGCATAGAAGTATATTTTCCCAAACAAAATCAAATAAAAAAAAATACTGTCAGTCAGAATCATAGAGACAGAGACAAATAACAGCTGGCAGTCTTAATAGGTAGCAAAAAATATTTATTCAAATTATTCTGTTGGTTTCACAAAGAAATGCTTAATTTTACATTTTGTTTTTGATGTTGCTGTCTCTGTGGCACCTCACGCTATTAACTTTCTTGACAGGCTAATTTGATAGATGAACTTGTGACTTTTTTCAGTGTGAAAAACCAACTAATTAAGAAAACAAACAGGGCTTAATACATTCCCCTCAGCAGGCTATGTTTGAAAAAAAATATTTTAACAGGGGCCATATTTGTAATGGATCCATTAGTGTGCCACAAAAAAATCATTCAATGACAAAAATTGTCTAAGCATGGTAATTGAATTTACCCTCCATTTAAGTAGATCGTAGATGTGAGAATATAATTCATTAAGGATTCAGAGCAATTCATGGAATGCGCTTTGATATGTGCATTTATCTAGCATTTCCTTAGAGTTGCGTTGTAAACTGTCAACGTCAATACACATGCATTCTGTACAAACACAGACAAAGAACAAGGGTGGAGGAGGATACCGTTGCTGGTGTTGATTTGTGTGTGTTTATATACTTGTCGCTGTTTGCTCTATAAACAGATTTGCTTTGGTCTTTGTTTAAATTATGTAGCCGTGTTTATTTTTTCTTGTTTTATCTTTTTACTTACACAACAAATTATTGTGATTTGATTTTCTGGGGATTCTATTGTCCATTTGTTTTGACTATAATTCCCCTATCATAAGAAGCAAGTGCTGTGAAATGGCTCTAGGAATGGCAATGTCTGTCAGTCATTTGGTCCACCACTTTGGTCTACATTGAAATAGCTCAACAACTATTTGATGGATTGCATTTCTGTGCATACCTTCATGTTCCCCAGGGGATGAAGCCTACTGGCTTCAGTGATCCCCTGACTTTTCCTGTAGTGCCACCAGGTTTACATTTTATAAGTGAAATGTCTCAACAACTATTGGATGGATTGCATGTGACACAGATAACCACTGTGCTCAGAAGATGATTCCTAATGGATTTGGTGATGCTCTGACTCTTCATCACAATCAGCAGGTCAAACTTTCAATTTTTGTGACCAAATACCTTCTAAATGACTGAATTTACCATTAACCTCAGCTATACTTGTTAATTATTAAATGTTAGCATGCTAACATCCTAAACTAAGATGGTAATAGTGGTCAACATGGCTGAAAACACTGATGGTCTTTAACAGAAATGAGAAACAGTACCATATTGCACATATTATAAAACGTTTATGGCCAAATAATATACTATTTCTTAGATCTCTTTTTTCAGCTCTTTCAGTGACTGAAACATACAGTACACTTTGGATTTGTGGGGACAAAAAATACAGATGAATTTTGTTTCAATTGATGGGTTATTTATCAGTGAAAACCGGTGAAAAATGAAAACAATTACCTTCAGTCATGTTTTATTGAGAAAAGTCTCAATCTAATCTAAAGTCACATTATCACATTACTGTGAACTGTATAAAACACAGCCAGCCCGTATTCTTTGATTGCTTCAGATAGCTGAACCACAGTGTTGGCAGTTACATCTTTTCCCCATGCTGGTGGCACAAAGCAGTCTAATCATCAGTTCCCATCTGCTTCTGTTGTATTGGGCAGGTACGATAACAAGACGGGTTCGCAGTGGAAGATGTCCACACATCTGAGACACTCACCCCAATCTTGGTGGTAATTTTCTGTCACTGTAATACTGATACATGACAAAGAGCAGAGTAAGATGGGGAAATATAGCCCGTCCACAGCACCAAAGTCACTCTCTAAATCTCTCCTCATGTACCGCATCGAAGGTTCTGATTTTTCTCTTTGACAATAAAATCCAATCACAAACCAGCCATCTGCTGACATTGCTGATGAAGTGGGCACTTGTCAAAAAGACACAAACAAGAGGAAATCACTTTATGAAGGATTCAAGAAATAACCGAATACTGTAGTTTTATTGCTGCATCTTTAATGCAGAAAGTTCATGTCGATTTGGCTTCTCTTGCTTCAAAATGTGTTTAGTGCGGACCCTTTGGTTTGCATTATAGCACTAGTGTTTTAGACTTTAGGAATCACATCAAGTACATTACAGCATCCCTCAGATTTTTAACTGATGACAGCTGAGCATGATTGCCTGTGCTTGTTGTGGCTTGCTGGTACTACTACAACGAGAAAACCACAAATCCCCATTTTCAGGTACCACCATAATTTTGTTTTTCAACCTTCACCATAGGAGATTTTGTGAATCAACAGCTGTTACTTCTTTTGCTGTTTCAGCCGTTGGCAGACTTAATGCAATAGTAGAACTTAATCAGCGTGTTAACTGACAAATTTCTTCCCTCCTTTTTTGACTAATTTTATTATCTGCCAGTTTTTTTGACAGAACTACTGATTTTTCATGTCAGTCATGTTCTAACCATGACAAATGTTTCTTCATTCCTTAAAGCCAATGTCATTCCTTACCTGTCACACCTGTTTTTACTCAAAGTGAAACTCCATATGACTCTTTCAAGTATCAAACCCTTGCCAAAAAGAGTATGCACTTTTATCCTTCACAGAGGGAGGCAAGCTGAAATTTATTTCAGTTCTAATAGATACCATCAATGACCAGTTTACATGGTAACATTTGCAAATGTCAGATTTATAATGAGTCCTGTTAAGCAGTGAAGAGTTGTTTATCTCATGCTTGTGTAGCATGGCTAAATTAGTTATGAATTTTAATAAATTTATGAGAATTAATACCCAATTATGAATTTTAATATTCATAAAATCAAAAATTATTCCTCGTTTCAGGGCACCACCGGAGTTGTTATAATCCTAGAGTCTCCGGACCTCTAGGTTGCTTTTAATAATTATACAATTATTACCAGTGATCAGTTAGTTTAATAAGTGCTATATAATAATTAAATCAATCAGTCAGTCTCATATCTAAAGGGTCAATTCTCTTGGCAGGGATGTAGAAATAGGCAACACACAGGTAGGCAATTAAATAGGCAATTTATTCTCTAACTAATGCGATATAAAAGGGTGGTTAAATACAGAGAAAATAAATAATGGCTGCACAATGAGAATGGAGGTTCAATTGTGGGAAGCATTTGACTCATATGGCATAGGAGAACTAATGAAAGTAAGATATGAGTTTAGGAGTTAAACGGTGAAGTTGGCTCGACGAAAAAGCTTAAAAATGGAACTTGGTCGTTGCTGAATTAGTCCATTGTAACTTAACGGACTGATAACTTTAACAAAACAAAAGAAAGAAAGAAAATAAAACAAACTGAGGGGCAGATCGATGTCGCGGCACTTCGCGTGTGTAGCTTCAAGCGAACAAAGGCCTGTTGCGCTGGCCGACTCTTAGGCGTTGCCTGGCGAGGCACGCCAGACGCGTGCCGAAGCGTCCAGAGAGCAGAGCGGAAGACCAGGGCACGAGGGGAGGAGCAGAGCAGAAAGCCGAGAGAGAGAGAACGACGTCGCATGTCGCTCTTTTGTTGCCTGGGGCGTGGTTCCCCAGAGGGCGTTTCCGGTTTGCCGAGGGACTGCCTTTCTAAACTTAATGTCTAAAAGAAAAGAAATCTATTTGTGCGTATTGTAATCAAATATTTTCCACAATCAACCCTCAATGGTCAAACAGTTGTACCGTTCTAAGTTAAGCATTTCCGACGATGGTGTGTAATACTTATTTCGTCCATTTGGGGGAGCTCAGGTTACATGAGGAAAGCTTAGATTAATCCAAGACCATCTCTCCTTGGGAACTGGGGAATTTAGTTATTCAGCCTTAAATTCAAGCTGGCGATTAAGAGTATAGTATGACATTTCTTTATCATCATTTCTAAAGGAATTTGTGAGAAGGTACTGTGAAGTATTGGTTACACATAACATGACGGAGTGTCCTTAACCTTGCTGGAAATAAAAACACTGCAAAAGTAACTTATTTAGATTCTTTTCAGCACTAATATCAGCAACATAATCAAGTAACTAAAAGATTTAATTAAACTTAATTAAATGCTTTGAGTTTTTGGAGACTGCAGTCTTTGGTTATTTAAAGTTCGGCTTCCTGGGTTATGTCACACTGGGGTGAGACAAGGAGTATCCCTTTGATGGGGTAATGAAACAAAGACCCAGTAAAGTTGCCATGGTTACATGTGTGTGGGGGGGCAGTTTTGATAGGCTGTTCAGGGAAATGCTAATCGCTGGTTCGTGTCCCTTTTGTCAGTTTAACAGTCAGGCCCCGCATTATCAGCTTCGGAATCAAAAAGGCGCCAGTTTCCCGATCAATTGCCCAGGCATAGCACTTAAAGAAAGCTACTTTTCCACCCCCCCCTTCCGTTGGGGTCTCTCCAGCAGTCTGTTGAAGTTGAGGGATTTGGATTAGCTCCAAATTTATTCAATATAAAATGCACAAATCCACACCGTTGTCCCACTACACTTGGCTCTTAATCAGTTGAGTTACTGTGCTGGTGATGCAATAGATCAAATAGTCCTGTATGTAGAGGGTGGAGTTTTGTGAAATTATCTCATGCTTCCTTGAAAAAATACTGTAGTTTTCTTTTGATTCATTGTGCGATCTCCATAGTCTGTTGTATAATTTGATACACTTACAATTTCTGTATTTTGTATATTGTATCAAAATAGATTCTATCTGTCTATCCATAAACAAAAAAAGCATGTTCCAATCATCCTGTTAAGCCTGTTAGTTAGTGGTTTGTGCATGTCCTGTGCATGTTTTGTTAATGAAGTTGACTGCATTCAGAATTTAGACCAACAAACAAACAGCCAATGAG